GAATCTCACCGCTGTCACTACTTTTTTTTGTCTCATTAAAGTAGAAACTATTGTTCAATGTTTTGAAAACATCACGGTGTAGGTGTGTGGGTGTGCGTGTATGTGGATTCATCTTTTAGTTACGAACACCCACACCCTCAACAGGGTCGGAATCGTGCGGCGAGCAACTACAATGTGGCTGTGAGTTTATAACAAAAAGAATCGATATATCAATGATCATCTATTGCAAAGAAACGTTTTCTCTAATATGATAGTTTTTTTTCTTATATAACGGAAAATACAAATATTATAAGACCTGCGAAATGAACATTGAGAAACGGATGCGAATTTACTCCGATTGATTCTATTGTTTTTTCAAAATAAAATCGATTATTTTTATCATAAATACGTTTAGTATTAATTAATTGTTGCACATGTGTGTGATAATAAACATTCATCCAATTTGGTACATCTCTATCGATATAATCAATATATGAATGTTTTGTTGAATCATTGTAGATAGTTAAATATACTTGATTTAACCAACTCATGTGTTGTTCTTCATGTTGTGTATCATTCCAAGAAACCATAAATTGAATACCAAATTTAAAATGTCTATGTGGAAATCCTGTTGCATGAACTGGAATTGTTCTTAAATATCCATCCCAAGGACTAAATAACAGAGAGATTTGACCATTACCTAACGCTAATCGATCAATCAATCGATCAAGACTATGATTACTTATTGGTTGATCATAAAATAAATGTTTGGCTTTAGAATAATGCGTTGGATATGTTAAATTATCAAGTAATAATTGTCGATGATCACCATTAAGATCTCCAATGTCTGAATTTAAATAAACAAAAGTCAACCAATCTCTTTGGTGTACTTCAGTTTTATATGGAGTTGGTAACGTTGTCAACAACAACGATACAATTCTATTGAACTCTTCTAATTTGATACCAAAATAAGTTATTGAAATTTCTATTTGAATACTGTTCACACCCATTTGCCAAAATATATTATTACTTAAATTGAATATTTTATCATCAAATAGCAATGATTGATATCGTTGCATTACTAGTTTTGTTACATTCGCATGCCAAAAAAATGAAAAACTCCTGACAAGTGATGGAGATTGAACTAATCGAAGTTTAAATTCTGTTACAATACCAAATAAACCTCCACCAGAACCACGTAATGCCCAGTATAACTCGGGTTCATGAGTTTGATTTATTGTCAATAATTCACCTAAACAAAATAATATCATATACATTTATTAATGAAAGTAGCAAAGATAATATCAACTTAGAAAAATAAGTTATATTAACCTTGAGCATTAACAGCTTTCATTTCCAAAACATTATCAGACAGTAATCCATGTAAACGAGCGAGAAAACCGTAACCACCACCTAGTGCAATACCAGCCAATCCCACCCATGCACAAGATCCAGCATTGACTGTATAGTTATCATATTGATATATTCTATAATAGATTGGACCAAGTCTAGTACCAGCTCCAAATGTACCAGTTCTATCATGTTGATTAATATTGATATAATTAATTGCTTCCATGTTAATAATAATATTGTTGTACATTGAGCCTAAACCATAACCTTCATAACTATGACCTCCACTCAATGCATTCACAATATAATTCAATTTTGTTGCACATTTAACCACGTTTTGAATATCACTACTATCAGTTACATAAACAACAACAGCAGGTGAATGAGAGATTCGACCTCCACGATTGCTCGACAGCCTACTTACATTGAAGTGATCACATTGATATTGGAAACTGTCTTGATTTGTTAATGTGTTACATGGATAAACAGTACGTATTGATAATGGTAATGACGATGAAAGACATTCTCGTAAATCATCATTGTTTACTCGTGTAAATTTATAATTAGCACGATAACTTGCTCTAGTAAAGGTAATTTGAAAAGTATATACTAACATAATGAAGCATAAAATTGAAGCAAACTTAATCATTGTAATCTATGTAGAAAAGTAAATCATTTCGAAGCGATCTATATTTATCAAATATAATTAAAAAAATTAATAAGAACAATGCATTAGAAAACGTTCCTTTCAACTACGAATTACTTAGTTTACGCCCCACTCTCTTTAATTCCGGCATTGTCATTACACTCCTTTTATACATATAATTTATTTCACAATACGGTAAGTAAGAGTAAGATCGTTCCTCAAAAGTTCGTAGAGAAAGACTGAGTTCTATTTCAGAGCACACTTGGTTCCTAAATGTAGGGAAGAATAACATGATAAATCTATTCTCGCTATTATTTTGTCTATGATTTCTTGAAAACTAAGAAATAAAGTTTCATAATTTTTTTAATCATTATGTCTGAAATAGGTCATAAACACAAAATGTATGTGAGTTGTACTCTTATTCAAGTCATCGAAAAATCAACGAATCATATTTGAAATGCTAAACCGACGTGAATAAAAAGATCTGGTTTTTCAAGAATTTTCGTCAGAGAACTGAATTTCTTACTATTGATACAAACGACAAGAACAAAGCTCTGCTTATGATAGGTAGAAGTCTCTGCAGAAGGGCCATACTGAACCTCCTTTTCGTTAGACTACTAATTAAGACGGAAAGTAACTTTTATTGATTCTAATATTGTATGAGGAGTTACTTACGTTACAGATATCATATATATTTGGTAGAAAGAAAAGAAGAACAAAGCAAACGCACGATTTATTACAGTGACTTACTTTTCTATTTGACGATTGTAAAATCTCTCGAATCGCTGAATGTGCATATGTATTCATTGATTGAGTGAAATAGAATGAAAACGAACTAATCTTTTCTTTTTTACTTTCCACGTGTTGATTACGTTTGTGTACGCTTATAACATAAAGAACAGAAAAAGAAAAGCAACATGGAGATAAAAAAAAGAGCTTATCAGCACAGTCCCACAGGTAGTAAATGTTAGAAAAATCGACAAAAACGAATTATTTTTACGTCATTCGTTTATATATTCAATACGAATAATGTCGACTGCAGAGAAAAATACGACGCAAGAAGTTCAAGATATTGCATCTGAAATTCAATCTGTACTATTTAGTTGTTACACTTATTTACAATGGCAATTCTCCGATGGTATACTGGAAGGTTCTCATTGTGGCGTTACCAATAAATACATTTATAAATATCATCCTGATTCAGATAATGAACAAGTTATTCGTCTTGTTTTCAATGAAAAACTTGAACCTCAAAGTGATACGTTAGAAAGAATAGCAGATAAATTTAATCGTATCGAATTTATTCGCTTAGTGTTTCCCACTATAGGCATAAATAATCTTCCTACAAATTGGATATTTACTATCGAGAAAACTGATGTCAGTTATGATTCACCCATGGAAGATGTGATTATACCAATTTCATTTGATGAAAATAGTCGTTTACATATATCATTACTTGTGAAAAATATTAATATTTATGGAAAAAACAAATTAACAAACGAACAAACATCGTTTGATTGGATAAAAAATGGAAATGGTATGATCAATTTAAATTTTACAGTACAAAATTGCGATTGAATCTTTTCCTTTGACATCTATTTGAAGAACCAAACTTTTCTTTATATTATCAATAAGAGCTTTTAAGAATAACTTGAATTAAACATTTTTTTTCTACATATTATAATTTTGAGGGTGTGGATAGGAGTCAGAGATAGGAACACCCACACCCACACCCACCCTCAAGAGTTGACCAAGAAAATTAGTGTAAAAGTGCAGAAAACGACAAGCAATGGCGAAATCTTTCAGTTATGCACACATAAAAATTGGCGTAAACTGGTTGCATATTGTTTCAATAAAAGACGCAGTTGGTCTCGATAAGTTGTTGATGGCAATATATAAATAACTAGGGTCAGCAGTGATGGAACGAATGAGATGAAATAACCAGTAAGAAAAAGTCCAGGCGTCCGAGGTGATTTCATACAACCGGAGAGGAATGAAATCATCAGACGAGGAATGGCTATGAGAACAAGAATTACTGGACTGATCAAAAGATGATTATGATGACGCCATTGTTCTAGAAGATGTTCTCGATAGGGACGTTGTTGTTGAGCAGAAGCACGTTGCCGTGTCACAGTACGAATGAGAAGCAGAACGGAGAACAGATTGATCGCAAACGGCAAAATGGAATGGAAAACATTGATGATCCAATTGAAAAGATCCAGTGAAAACGTCGAATATTGAATCAAACACCAGATTCGTTCTTCTCCTTCGTCTTTGATTAACTGTCGATGGATTGGATCATGGACATAACTAGCAAATGTCAGAAAAACGAGAAGAAGAACAGCAATACGAGCTATTCGACGACTTTTTCTTTTGTTAAAACTTGGCCCTTGACTGGCGACCCCTAGGCGTTCAATGGCAATTAATGCATTGAGCCAATCACTTATAGCGAGTAACGATCGAATAAGATAGTCAATCGAGTGACAATTAATGGTGAGGAAGATCTTGTTTGTAACAATGAATCGTTGAGACAAATAAAAGAACAGATATTTCCATGTCAAAATAGTTACGATGAACAAGGAAATGATCGAAGAAATGAAGAGATAATATCCACAGCCTACTTCTTGAAAACTTTGCACCCGAAAGGTCATAATGGAAAGAATGCTGTTGATCAATCCGATGACAAATATCACTACAGTGACCGACAGACTGACTTTGACAAGAAAGGATTGATGCGTAAGTGAAAGATCGGATCGAATACTGTAGCTGAGAATCGTGTCAAGAGATAGACCGAAAGCTTTGGTAGTAAATTGACATTTGCTTCCGTAAAAACATTCCAGACAGACACAAGCGATCCAATGGGAACATTTATTATCATGAAAACACTCTGCTCCATTTTTACAGTCACTCAATCCATCACAATCATATGTCATATTGAAATCAAAATTGAAACAATTCGCATATCGGTCCTCACCACATAAACATAGAAAGCCTTCGCGATCATGAAAGCAGGAGAGATGACGGTGCTTTTGACAAACTTGCTGATAGAATTTGATCCGATGAAGAAGAGGCGAGGACGATATTTCGTGGGTTAACAGATGCACAAGGCTCGGACAACGGCGCGTCGGATCTACCTTGAATTTGAGTGTGGGCTGTCGAGTGATATTTCGAGTTACGATAACTAAGTAAAATTCCACTTCAATTTGAATGAAAAGCAAATGGAAATCAAGTGAAGGATAGAAAAAGCGAACTTCATCGCGGTCCCATCTCGTTCGTACAGCGATGGATAAACGCTCAGGTTCGCCATCACCAGGAGCAGTGATGAGATGAGCTAGAAAAACTTGAGGTGTTGGAACTTGAGAAAAGACCATTTCCAATTGTCCGGTCTTTTCGCATTCGGTTCCAGACCAGGTATTTTGACACACACATCGATCAGACCTGAAGTCGGTCGACGGAAAACAAAAATAATTTTTTTTGTCGCACGGATCCCTTTGACAACGAGAAGGTAGAAAGCATCGAGGACCCGATTTGGTCAGTGGACACAAACAAGTGGAGCGATTGAAAATCATTCCAACACAAAGTGAATCCGACGAACAATCACATCGAATCGGCATGTTACACACTTTACCTGTCCATCCCGAATGACAATGACAGAATTCTTCTTCTTTGTTGACGTACATGAAGCATTGACCATGAGCACAAGATTTCGAACATGTGGATATGGATGCAGTTGAAGGCAGTCGTAAGAATTGAGAGATTCGATTGACTGGAAGAAAAATGAATGGTACTGGAAAGATCCAGCTAGAATAAATAGACAAATCTAGTAAACTATACGCATCGATTCGAATTGAATAGATTCTTTGTAGATTTTTTCGTCTTTCCTGATACAAAAGATAAACATTAAATTTGGTATGACAATGAGCTGTGGGAAGATAATGAAATTGGTTTTGAGAATGCGTTATTTGTTCACTGTCCAATAGAGTGACTAAGAAAAGAAACATTCCGTGACAATAGGGCGCACAGATTTTTCGGATTTGTACTGTTAAACTAATTCGTTGACTTTGATATTGACACCGTTCGCCATAGGAACTCGGAGGACAAAAACATCGGTATTTTCCATTGCCTGTTGCTATATAGATTCCTCGATTGCACAACCAATACATCTCGTTCGTCAACGGAGTCACTCGAAATGAACGATCATGAAGTCTCTTCAGTGAAACTTCTTGTTCTTTTTTCCGAAAAGTTGGAAATATGTCATCCTCTATGATACGAAAGTACTTCTTTCGATGTTCCATTAGTCGATCAGTATCGTTAAAGATACTTTCGAAACTATAAATAAATTCTTCATTGTTACATTGACTATAGATAATGTCATCGGAACAAACCTTTGTATTACATGCATCACCCACCCATACACATTGCGTATCGTTCCAGCATCGATACAAATTGTGAGCTATTATTCCGTGAGAACGGCAGTAGGAGCGTTCATCCGCGGAGCCAAGACAATCGATGATTCCATCATTGATGCGAGATCTTGATAAACATGTAAAGCTCCAATTGGGAGCTTGCATACATGGAAATGTTTCATTGAAACAAGGAGAACTCGATGGACAGTTCAATTCGTCTTCGCCATTTAGACAAGACCAAAAGCCATCGCAACGTGTATATCGATTATTACACGGCCACTGCTCGCAGTTCGTCTCATCGGTTTCATTTTGACCATGATCGGAGTCAGGTGACAGATGTCGTAGACCATCACACATTAGATCAAAATCGAGAAGGGTTTTCGGTACAATTTTTTCATCTTCGCCCAACAGACAATCGTCTATACCATCATAGACATTGGTCGGCCATAAACATTTCTTTTCCGACGAACATTCGAATAGATCTTTTTGCATCAACGAACATGTGTCGATATTTTTTTCATCGACATGTTCATAACAATCAATTGTGCCATCCATCAAACGAAATTTGGAGATGAATTTCTCAGTCTTCGGACATTGAAAAAGCGTTTTCCAAGCCAAATCAGTTCGATTTACTTTCGAAGAGTTCCATGGACATGTACGAAAAAGCAGATCGATTTCCAAGAGACTCTTCACAGACAAATCTAGTAGTGATGCACATACTGATCCATTGTAATGAAATGAGAATTTGAGAAAAGGACATCTTTCCAGCGAGTAACATATATAATCGGGTAAAGATTGTACTTCAGTGCGACGTCGAATGATGGTCTGATTCGTGAAATACGCAAATCGAATATGATCATGTAGAAGAATGTTGCCAGGAAAAAATACCATTTGCATCGAACATGATTCTTTCAAATTGTGTTGACAAAACAATCCTTGACAGAAGGTTGTACATCGATTTGTCCTTCGACTTCCAAACGTTCTCGCACAATAGAGAGCCAACCAGCACGCTTCAGACAAATGTGGATTTTGAGAAGCAGCGAAAAGCTCTTGGATATAGAGCTGATCACGAGCATTGTTGCAGGATAGTGTAAAAATACGAGAGACTTGTCCATCGCCACAGGGATACGTTTTCGATCGATCAAGGATATTCGATTCTTCACATCGAAATGATGGATCTCGAAAACAATCCAACCCGGGACTTAAACGTATTTGTAGACCTCGCTCGCCTCGTTCATCTGTTCCGTCTAAACAATCTGGATAGATAGGATTATCATTTCGGAATTCCTCGGCAATGCATAAACCATTGTGACAGCGATATTCATTGTCTTCGCACTGATTCATCTCTAAATCCAGACAATCCGCTTCATCGATTCCATTGCCCAAACAATCGATTTTTCCATCACAGATTTCTCGCCAATCAAGACAACGATTACAGTCGATTTCTCGATAGCAAGGTATATTAGACCATTGCAGAGTAAGGTTGTCATTAATTACTCGATTTTGTTTTTCCAAAAAAAAATCGAGAACATAGTTTGAAAAGTTGTTATTCGCAGGGATTTGATATTGACAGAAGAAGCCAAAGAAATTCTCCGAACAGTTATTCAGATGATAGGCAGCTAGAGCAAGTTTTTTCGTTAGAAGATATTCTTCATAATCCTCAGCCAGATCAAGAGATATCGACCATCGAAGAAGATCTGTTCCCGTCACGTTCATTGCACTGAGTTGATCAAATCGAAACGTCGTGAAATTACCTTGCCACAAGTCACTCTCTGCAATCAGATTCTGAACAGGACGAATACAATAAGCTATGAGTTCAAAAGGTACTTCGGCTTCAGAATTTCCATCAATGAATTCAATGAAGTCAGTGAATTTAATAAAGTCATGTACTTGGTAATCCAAACAATCATAGTACAACAGCCCATTTCCATGATTATCGGTATGATACAAATTATAATCTGTTTCCACACAGGATATGCAAAGGAATACCAAAAGTATATATTGTATTGTTTGCTTGTCCATTTGAAAGGGAAAAGGGTTCCCTTATTTTTCTTTTTTCTAAAGTGTCACGTAACCGTTTTCAGATAAGATCTTGTCTCATTTCGTTCTCGTCTTTATCTAGCAAAATTCAATTGATTTGTCTTCTGAATATATATTGTTCGTTATTCTACTGGAGGAGGCAAACAGAAAACCCACTGTTTTTTAGTATGACATTGGATTCATATTCAAAAGATTTAGAGAGTGAACTTCAGCTAATAGAATAAAGAAAATGATTTATTACCTGTAGTAATCGAAGCAGATTGGAATAAATTGAGCTGCAGATGATCACAAAGTACACATAGATCGAGCGATTTCCTAGCTAGATTAGATCAAAGTCTGCTGACATATATTCAATAGACTTTTCTCTTTTTCTACTAATCCGTAATTGTCAAATTAAGCGAGTATATGATGATTTTGTCTGAAACGTGACAAACATCAGCAAAGAGATTGTCTGAATACAAGGCCAATAGTCTGGTGAAAGACGTGATGTAAATGTATACGATTACTCGACAATCGACTAAATTATATATATACATGAACGTGCTCAACCATATGATGTCTCGATTCATATTTGATTATGTAGCTTTATTCACATATCAGGAAAATGTGATTTTTTTACCATTTATAGTACACATATAGCACTGATGATTTATCATTGTTTGAGGGTGTGGGTGTCCAAAGCGAATATTCAAATCCACGCCCAAACCGTCACCTACGCCCACACTCTCAAGATGTCTCATTCGTGTCTGTATTCATATAGTCCTTATCTACAAAAGTAAATATCACGACGTTACCTGACCATCCACTATGTTAATCATCGAAAAAACAGATTGATTACGCATTCAGCAAGTCAATACAAATATGATATATAAAACAGTTGCATAGCTGCTCACGAATATAGTTTACAATTTTGGAAAGCCTAGACACGCTTCAATACAATATAACTATAAACCAGTCTCAACGTTATCATCACATAAGCATATTTCACCATAAAAATCAAAAACATGCTGAAAATGATGAGCAAAATGACCACCAGCATGAAAACGAAGAACACATGTGTTACCATCACGACTCTTGGAATACTTGTAAAAGTTACCTTTCAAGTAACGCTTTTTGTCATCTTGAGGATGTGGATGTGGGTATCTCATTATCTTTATTTGCACACCCACTCACACCTACAATTGCATGTCGTATAGTAAGATCGGTGAATATCTTTCTCAATTGGTATTTTATTTAGGTTAAGTTTAATTTTATTTGAAATAAATAAGAAGCCACCAACACTGCATAAATGAATACGATGAACAAAAGCGAAAGCTTGAATAAAAATGTATATAATTGAATTGAATAGTTTCTCATGTTAATATTCATTATTTCTTCGAAATATTTTGTATACAACAATCACATGTATTGATAGAAATAAGTACATTGGTAGAATATTTATCTAATACAATAAAATCCAATTTGCTATCACTATTAAAATCACCTGTAATCATTGTAGTTGGTGCAGTAATAGACCCAGTTGAAAACATGGATGGCTCTAAAAATGTTCCATTACCAATACCTACCCAAATATTTACTTGTTGTCCAAGAAGAAGAGTAGCAGCAAGATCAATTTGACCATCATTGTTAAAATCACCGACAACAACCGTATCTATATTTCCATTTACTCCTGTCGGATACGTTGTCTGTTGTCCAAAAGTTCCATTATTATTCTGAATGAAAATACTTATGTAATTTGTATTTTCATTGGCAACAACCAAATCTAATCGATTGTCATTGTTTAAATCAACTATAGTGAATGAATTTGTATAAGAAGATTTTTCAAAAGTTAAAGTCATCCACAAATAAAAATACCCATAACCATTGTTAAGTAATATCCGTATCATGCCATCTGAACCGTAACTGGCAATAAGATCTAGATGTGTGTCATTATTAAAATTAGTAGCAATAATCCAATTCTCATTGAACCCATCATCATCATGGAGAACTGTTATGCTACTAAAATAACCATTACCCAAACCAAACATTATACCTGATTGCACACCAGTAACAACAATATCTAAATGATTATCTTCGTTAAAATCACCAATTACTAATCTTAAGGGTAAATGAACGAATCCAGTTGAAATTATCTGTTGTGTTTGAAAAACTCCATTACCGTAGCCAAAAAAGATTCCTATAGTATCAGATTTAAAATTCGCGACAGCAAGATCTATATGATTATCATTGTTAAAGTCACCATCAGTCACAAAGTGTGGATCATTATCTGATCCAATAATATATATCGATGGTGCTGTAAAAGTTCCATTATTATTCCCAAGAAATATATTAAGATTATCCAATTCGTACTCAACAAGAGCAAGATCTAGATAACCATCACCATTAAAATCATCAGTAACGATTGACCCAAAAGAAGAATTGAGGTTAAATGTAAATAAATTTGATTCGTCAAATGTTAACACACAGGGTGGTTCTACATAGAAAGAGAAATAGGATTGTATTCTATTATATCATGAAAAATTTATTTGAACATATATCTATACTAACCTGTTGACAATATTGATGTTGTTGAAGTAGTAGAATCAGTTGTTTGAACAGCCGTTGATAAAACTAGTATAAATAGAAAATGGTGTTATTCATAAGGGGGAAAAATTGACAATTAAAACAAATAATACCTGGTAATGTTGTATAATTCATATTAGCTCTCCAATTTAAATAAATCGATACCACTATCATCGTCACTAACAAACTCCCAAATAAAATCATTCCGAGAATAATATAACAATACATTCTTGAAGTAAATTGTTTTCTAAAAATCAATTATTAATATTAATTATTATAAAGACAAATGTAACATACGGTGGTAAAACTGAAAATGTTGTACAAGCATCAGTAGTAGTATTGTTGATATGATTCTCGTTCAATGTACACGTAGTATTCGTAATTGTTGCCACTGTTGTTGAAGAAATAGGTCCAATCGTATTTCTTCGTTTTCTATAGTATTGATAGATTTGATTAAGAAGAAGAATTATTTTTGAACATAACCATTTAAAAATGAATGACAAACCACCATAAAGACCAAGTAGAACGGTAACAGTATAAAGCCAATCAAATCTTTGAATATATTGATACGAACATGAACTTGGTAAACATTGATTAAAATATTTTGGATAATCAATTGATGTTAACCAATCTTCAATGAAAACATTTGTAATCAAATCTAATACAGTTGAATTCATTGAAAATCGACTGTTGTTTGAGGACAGAGGTGAATATAACATATTATCATTATCGACAGATTGGAGAATAAGATTGATACATGATATATCATAAAAACATTCCAATGTTGAAGAAAATAATGCTTCACTTGGCGTACAACCTATTTTCAAACCATTGATTGGTTCGATTGTTGATAAATCATTTAGAAAAAATCCAGCTTGAGTAGTACA